GGGGGGGGGGGTCGGTCTCGCGCCTGGGCTCCGGTCGGGCTCAGCGGCCGCCCCCCCTCCGCCTGACTCCCTCTCCGCCGGCGGCGGATTCGTTTCCGGTCCAACCACTTCCGGGTGAGGGGTCGCGCGGCCGGACGCGGAGGAGGAACACGCATGCGCCGCGCGCGAGGACAGAAGCGGCTGGTGGGCGGGGGGGAGGGACGCATGCGCGGCGCGCGAGGACAGAAGAGGCAGGGGACGCCCGCGCGGCCGCTGCGAGGGGGGGTCTTCGAGCCGTTGCGCATGTGCGCATGGGCCGGCTCCGAGCTGGAAGCTAGAGAGCGGGGGAGAAGGAAGGGGGAGCGGCCTGAGAGGCGGGTAGGAGGAGCCAGGGGCAAGGGGGCGGGGCTTAAAGGGAGAGCGACAGCTGGGACCCCCCCAAAACAGGCGGGGCCGGGAGTATGAAGTGGGCGGGGCCAGAGGAAAGGGGGTGGGACCAGAGAGAGTAGTTGGGACTAGCACAAAAAAGGGGCAGGGCTTGGAGGGGGACAAGTGGGTGGGGCCATCAAAAGGGGCGGGGCCTACAGGCAGACAAAGTGGGAGGGGAGGCTGAAGGGGGCGTAGCCAAAGACAGCAGTTGGGGCGGGGCTTGACACAAGTGGCGCCACGGGAAAGAGGTGGGGTCCCCGGGAGGCAAGGGGGATGTGCCAGGACAGTGGGTAGGGGCCATCAGAAAGGGGTGTGGCCTGAGGGAGGGCAAAAGTGGGCAGGGCCAGATACAGCAGTTGGGAATGGCAAAAAGGGGCAGGGCTCAAGGGGGACCAGAGTGTGGAGCCATCAGAGAGAGGCGGGGTCACAGGGCAGCAAGGGGGAGGGGCCACAGACAGTAGGAGGAACCATCAGAAAGGGGTGTGGTCAAGGGAGTCACTGGGCAGGCCAGTGAAAGGGGGAGGGGGCAGAGACAGCAGTGGGACCAGCAAAAGGAGTGAGGCTTGATGGGGAAACTGGGTGGGGCCATCAGAAAGAGGCGGAGTCACAGGGAGGCAAGGGGGAGGGGCCGGGAGAGAGCAGGTAGGACACACAGAAAGAGGCAAAAAAGAGATATTGGGATTGGAAAAGGTTCAGAAAAGGGCAACAAAAACGATGAGGGGTCTGGAACGGCTGCTGTGTGAGGGATTAACGAGACTGGGACTTTTCAGCTTGGAAAGAGGCGACTAAGGGGGGATATGAGAGAGGTCTATAAAATCATAACACAAGAACTAGGGGCCGCCCAATGAAATGAATAGGCAGCAGTTTGAAAACAAACACCAGGAAGTATTTTTTCCACACAATGCACTGTCAACCTGTGGAACTCCTTGCCCCCGGATGTTGGGAAGGCCAAGACGAGAACAGGGTTCAAAAAAAAAAAAACATAGAGAAGTTCAGGGAGGATAGGTCCATCAGTGGCTATTAGCCAGCATGGGCAGGGAGGGTGCCCCTAGCCTCTGTTTGCCAGAAGCTGGGAATGGGCGATGGGATGGATCACTTGATTCCCTGTTAGGTTCACTCCCTCTGAAGCACCTGGCACTGGCCGCTGTCGAAAGACAGGAGGCTGGGCTGGATGGACCTTTGGTCTGACCCAATATGGCCGTTCTTACATAAGGGGCAGAGAAAGTAGGTAGGAGCATAATAATAATAATTAATGGAGATATCCCATCTCCTAGAACTGGAAGGGACCTTGAAAGGTCATCGAGTCCAGCCCCCTGCCTTCACTAGCAGGACCAAGTACTGATTTTGCCCCAGATCCCCAAGTGGCCCCCTCAAGGATTGAACTCACAACCCTGGGTTTAGCAGATAGAGGCAAGTGGGAGGGGCCAGAGACCACAGGTATGACTAGCAGGAAGGGGCAGGGCTTGAGGGGGACAATGAGGCGGGGCTATCAGAAAGAGGCAGGGTCACGGGAAGGCACAGGGCAGGGGAGGGGCCAGAGAAAGGAGGTGGGACCATAGCATGGCCTGAGGGCGGAAAGTGGGCAGGGACAGGGCACAAGAAGTGGGCGGAGCCTGGGAAAAGGGGCTAGGCCAGACCCAAGGGGCCGGCACAGAGTGCCAGAGTAGGTGAGCTCAGGGAGCTGGGGTGGGTGCCAGGCTACCACCCCCCCGGGCTGTGCCACGCAGAGGGTCCCCTCCCCAAGCCACGGGCAACACAAGCCCCCACCCCAGCATCCAGTCCCCGAAGATCAGCGGGCCGCCCGCCACCCGCTGGCTCCCCCTCCGCCAGACACACAGCACCCACACGGGTCTCCGGGGAAATCGAGGTTACGTTTATTGACCAAAGCACCGAGATCCGAGCCAGCACCGTTCCCGGGACTGACTGCCAACCGAATGAACTGGCCACAGAGCGCCCCGCCCTTCACCCCCCCCCCAACCAGACCCTCTTTGCCCCGCAGCCCCCACATTCGGGACTCATCCAACCACGGCCGGGGGTGTGGGCCAGATGGGAGTTGGCGCCCCCTACCCCACACAGCCCCCTCCCGCCCCGCTCTTCACTACCACGAAGCTCAGCGCAGTGGTGGAGACAGGGGTAGAACCTAGGGGTCCTGGCTCCCAGCCCCCCCAGCTCTAACCCACCAGCCCCCACTCCCCTCCCAGAGCCAGGGAGAGAACCCAGGAGTCCGGGCTCCCAGCCCCCAGCTCTAACCCACCAGCCCCCACTCCCCTCCCAGAGCCGGGGAGAGAACCCAGGAGTCCGGGCTCCCAGCCCCCCGATCTAACCCACTAGACCCCACTCCCCTCCCACCCAGGATTCTCCTCTCCCTCCACCAGTGTCAATCCCCCCCCCATGCGCCGCTATTAACGCGCTTCAGTTTCATTTCACTGCTGAACAAGGCACATGGTTTATACCACAAGGGGACAACGCTGGGGTCGGGTAGAGGTGGCAACAGCGGGAGCTGTTGGGGGGTTGTTTTTTTTTGTAGGTCCTACCAAAAAGGGGAAGCAGCTAGTTTTAAGGGCATGAGGGCCTCTCTGGACTGAAGAGGGATGAGTCCTACCGCTGCAAATTGAGGGGGCAGTTCCGATCCAGCCCTAGGGCGGGGACTAGGTGGCTTAGGGGGGCAGGGAATGGGGCATGGGGCCTGTCCCCTCTAGGGGGCGCCGGCTCCCATCCGACCCCAGGGCAGGGACTGGCTGACCCAGGGGGGTGGGGAATGGGGCAGGGGCCTGTCCCCTCTAGGGGGTGCCGGCTCCCATCTGGCCCCAGGGTGGGGACTGGCTGACTCAGGGGGGTGGGGAATGGGGCATAGGGTCTTTCTCCCCTTGGGAGCGCTGGTTCCCATCCACCCTTCCTTTATGGAAGTCTATTCCCATGCCATGGCGGGGGGGTGGTAGGGACTGTGGAGGGGGCTGGCATGGATGCAGTGGGGAGGGGGACAAGGCCCAGCCCCCCTTCTCGCCAGACAGATACCAACCCCAGTCAAAAGCCCACTAGCTCCATTCCCGGCCCCAGACACAGCCCTGAGCGGGGGCACACAGCTGCGCTCCTGGGTAGCTTCCCACACAGTGGCGCCGGAGTCGGGCTCTCTCACAGATCTCTCGGAAGGTCCCGCCGGGAAGCAGAGATCCAGGGGTCCATTTGGGGGAGGGGGGAGCCCCACACACACCCCCCTCGGCTTTCACACGTCCAGGTCGTCGTCCGGATCCTCTTCGTCCAGGTCGTCCGCGGCATCTGGTTCGTAGTAGATCTTCCCGGCGCTGTCCGAGGCCTCCAGCAGTGATGACTTCCTACCACGGGGAGGGACAGGTTGGGGGGTCAGCTCCCACGGATCTAGAGATTGGGGGGCGGGGGGCAGAGGAGGGATGGCTGGGGGGCAGGACGGGCATTGGGAGGATTCGGAGGCAGGGCAGAGAGACCCAGGAGGGTGGGGGGGAGGGCAGGGTAGAGGCCAGGGTAATTTGGTTGGTATCGGGCAGAAAGGAGGTGGGGGCAAGAGGTGCCGAGCGGAGGTGGGGGGCATCCAGGAGGCGTCTCCCCTGGGGGCGGGGTGCAGAGGGGAGGCGGGGGGCATGCGCCCCACTCACTTTTGGGCGCTGAAATGGAAGGGCAGCGGCACCCCGTCCCGGGCCCGGCGTTCCGTGTCCGACAGCCGCAGGTTGAAGGTCAGGTTGGCGGCGGGATCCGCCTGGGGGGGTGGAGACGCCCACCCCCCACCCCGGTGCGGGGGGGGGGGGGGGGGCGCCCCCCCCCCCCCCCCCCCCCAGTATGAGTCACTCCACGAGGTCACCTCCCTCCATGCGGGGGACGGCTTGGCTAGCGTGGCCCACAGTGGAAATCGGGGTTCTCTCAAGAGCCCCCCCGTCCCAAACAGCCCCCCAACCCTACCCCTCAATCAGTGCCCCCAATATCTCCAACACCCCTCATCCCGTGCCCCACAAACCCCCACTACCCTGTCCCCAAACCAGCACCCCCAGATTCCCCCATCCCCTGAGACACCCCACAACCCCAACCAGCACCCCCAGGACTTCCAAATCCTCCCATCCCCCGAGACCCTCCCCAAATCAGCACCAATTGGTGCCCCTGGGAGGTCCAGTTCCCCCCCCCCCCCCCCATGCCCCCCAAGAGCCCCCCCCCTTCCCCCCCCCAGTGCCGGGGGGGCAGATAAGCTGGGATTTCAAAAGGAGCAGAGTTGGGGTGCTCCGGTGTCCAGATACCTGCTGATCCCCCCACCCCACTGCTGTGTAACCGGGGACCCCCGGTCCCATGAGGAAAGGGACGGGGACCGTACCGCGGAGTGAGGGTCGGCGTCTTCATCTCGGGGCACGCTCCCCGTGGGCTCCCCGAGGGCTTTTGGGGTGAAGCCGGACAGGATGGTGAAATATTCCTCCTGGGGGGGGGGGGGGAAGAGGATGAGACAGAACCAACCCCCCCCGATTGGCACCCACTGCCCCCCACTGCTGCCCCCCCCAGCCTCAAAGGGGGGCTGTTGCCCCTTCCATACAACTCCCTTGCCCCCTGCCCACCCAGCCACTAAGTTGCCCTGACTCATCCGAGACCCCCTCCCCGCCATAACCCCCGCACTGTCCCCTGATCTGGGAGGTCCCTGCCCCCCAATATCCACCCCTCACTGCCCTGCCCTCCCCTCCCCCCACACACACCCCGATCTGGGCGTCTCCACCTGCCTTCCCCCACCTTCTCGAGGACCTTCCCGGTCCCCTTACGCTGGAGCATGGAGGCCAGCCGGGGGGCGTCTCCCCCACTCCCCACGCCCTCAGGGGCCGGCCCCACCCCCACCACGGCTCGGGCCAGGGAGCGGAGGGTCTCCACTAGGCCCGGCGGGTGCAGGTCGCCGTGCAGCAAGGCCAGGATCCTCGTCACACGCAGGCCTGAGCGGGGAGGGAAGGGAGAGGTCAGACACCCCCACACCGCCCAGAGCCAGGGAGAGAACCCACGAGTCCTGGCTCCCAACCCCTCCTGCTCTAACCCACCAGCCCCCACTCTCCTCCCAGAGCCGGGGAGAGAACCCAGGCGTCCTGGCTCCCAACCCCCCTGCTCTAACCCACCAGCCCCCCCTCCCCGAGCCGGGGAGAGAACCCAGGAGTCCTGGCTCCCAACCCCCCTGCTCTACCCTACTAGCCCCCACTCTCCTCCCAGAGCCAGGGAGACAACCCAGGCATCCTGGCTCCCAGCTCCCCCTGCTCTAACCCACCAGCCCCCCCTCCCCGAGCCGGGGAGAGAACCCAGGCGTCCTGGCTCCCAGCGCCCCCGGGGAGTCCAGACCTGCGCTGGCAGCCGCCCTCGGGATCTGTGCCAGCGCCTGGCAGATGACGGGCAGAGGCTGGCGCAGCAGAAGCCAGCTGAGCGAGTCCAGGACGACGGTGGCCGGTCCCGCGGGTCCCCTGGCCAGTTGCCCCGCGACCCCCAGCGCTGTGAACTCCTCCCCCCCGAAGCCCCCGGCCTCCCCGGTCCAGCGCAGGGGGTCCGTGAAGCCATCCTGGTATAGCAATCTGGGAGGGAGAGAGGTCCAAGGTCAACCCAGGGGGTTCACTGTGGGAGGGGGCAGCTGCCCCGGTGTAACCGACGCACCGCTGCCTGAGTCTGCCGAGAGCCAAAGCCTGTTGCGTCAAGAGCGGGCAGCTACCCTGTGCCTCTGGCCCCACTTATTGGGGAGGGAGGGGTGTTGGCTTGGGGGGTAGGCGGGGGACGGGGGGGGACTCACCGCACAGTCACATCGGGGTCAAAGCCGGCCCGGAACTCTTCCTCGGGGATTTCGAAGCCGAAAACGTGGATGGATTCCCCCCTGGAAGCACAAAGTGGGGGGCGGGACAGGGATAAGCCATGAGCGTTGGGGAGCCGCAAGCCACAAGGGGGCACTGGGGATCAAAGGGGCAATTGTGGGGTATGGGGGGGGGGGGGGGGGGCACCGCATGCACCTGTGCGCTGAAGCTGCCACAAAGGTCTTGAGCAGGCTGCGGCCCTCGCACTCGACGGTGTCTGCAGGGAAAGGCCCCGGGGCCAGTGAGACGGGGATCACCCCCAGGGAAATACACAGACTCTGAGCCCCCCGCCCCTTCCAGCTCCCCCCCCTCCAGTTCTCCCTGCTCCCCCCAGGTTCCCCTCTGCTCCCAGGCTTCCCCGCCCTCTGGCTCCCCCCACCACCACTTCCTCCCTCTCCCAGGCTCCCCCTCCCCCCGTGGATCCCTCCCCCCCAGCACCCCCATTGCTTCTTCCTTCCCCCTAGATCCCCCTGCTCCAGGCTCCCCCTCCCCCATGGCTCCCCCTCCCCCCAAAGCTCACTCCATTGTTTCCTCCTCCTCCCCCCCAGGCCTCTCCTCCCAGGTTTCCCCTCCCCCCATTGTTCCCTCCTCCCACCCCAGCTCCCCCTCCCCCCAGTTCCCCCCACTGCTCCTCCTCGCTCCCCAGCTCCCCCCTCACCCTCGATGAGGACGAGCCCCCCCGTTGCCCCAGCCACCAGCTCGCCCAGCATCCCACTCCCTCCTCCCCCCGCCCCTCTGCATCGGCGCCTCCCTATGACCTCACCATGCGGCGACAGTCCCGCGCACGGAGCGGGAGGCACTCCCTTGGGCGGCGCCATGGTGGGACGTAGGCGTCCCACGCGCTGCCTGCTCAATAAAATATGGTGGGGGAGGGGACGGCAACAGAGGTTGTAGGCAATCCCTAATGATACCTGGGGGTGGCGGGAGCGACGCGGTCCTTTCCAGTCGTTTTAGGGCTTCATGGGGGGGGGGGGTGTTTTTCAGGCACTGAGTTAGCCACCTCATCTGCATCTTGGCCAAACTTTTGCCAACATGGAGGGATTTGGGGGTCAGCTTAAGAGTTCCTTGAAGCCTCCAAGGCCCCCACTCCCTGGTCCCATCCCAAAGGGGCGAGAGTCCCGCCCCACCACCGCTGCTCTTAGGCTCACACCCCAACATGGTGCCCATAAAGGCAGGGGGGTCCGTATCCCACTTTGAGGACCCCTGTCCATCCCGCTCCTGCGCTACCCACTCCGGCGCCCCCAACCTGGTCAAATCTCCCACTTCCCCCGGCCTTGTCTCCAGCTCCACAGCCCCCATATAAGAACAGCCATACTGGGTCAGATAGGGTTACCATATTTTGAGCCTCCAAAAGGAGGACACTCCACGGGGCCCCAGCCCCGCCCATGCCCCAACTCTGCCCCCTCCCCTGCTTCCCGCGAACATTTGATTTGCAGGAAGCCTGAAGCAGGTGAGGGGGGTGTGGGGGGAGGAGGCGCGGCCCAGTCTGGCCCCCCCGGCATCTGCAGCCTGGGTCCGCTCGGGCTCTGGGGTGCTGGCCCCGGGCCAGCCCCCGGCCCCCGGCCAAGCACCCCCGGCCAAGCACCCCCGGCCCGCCCAGCACTGCCAGTCCCCGGCCCAGCCCCCGGCTCAGCACCACACCGCCGGCCCGGTCCCCGGCCCGGCCCCCGGCCCCAGCCCGGCACCGCATATCCCGATTTTCCCGGACATGTCCGGCTTTTTGGGATTTCCCCCCGGACGGGGATTTGGAGCCCAAAAAGCCGGACACGTCCGGGAAAATCGGGACGTATGGTAACCCTAGGTCAGACCAAAGATCCATTGAGCCCAGTGTCCTATGCCAGGTGCCCCAGAGGGAATGAACAGAACAGGGAATCAAGTGATCCATCCCCATCACCCATTCCCAGCTTCTGGCAAACCGAGGCTAGGGACACCATCCCTGCCCATCCTGGCTAATAGCAATTGATGGACCCATCCTCCGTGAACTTATCTAGTTCTTTTTTGACCCCTCTTATAGTCTTGGCCTTCACAACATCCTCTGGCAAGGACTTCCACAGGTTTACGGTGCGTTGTGTGGAGAAAAGACAATGTGATGCAGTCGCAAAAGAGAGGGTGTATTAAAAGGCATGTCATACGCAAGACACAGGAGGCTGGTGTTCCGCTCTGCTCCGCCCTGGGTGAGGCCTCAACTGGAGTATAATATCCATTTCTGAGACCTGCACTTTCAGAAAGATGGGACCAAACTCGAGAGAGAGGCCAGAGCAGACCAACAGAAATGAAAACCCGACCTGTGAAGGAAGGTGGTGGAATTCCCCACCATTGGAGGTTGTTCCCGTGACACCGTTTGAGGTCCACTAGCTGAAGGCGCTATTAAACTCATCAACCCAACCCATCGAAGGGTAGTCAAAAATAGACCCAAGGCCTTCCAGAAGGTCCAGGAACAGGCTTAAAAATAAAAAAAGTATGCAGAGCCTGTCGTAGGGATTTCCCCGCCCCAGCCATGCCAGAAGACCCCTCCACATTCTCCATTGAGCCACAGTCACCAGAACCCAAGATCTGCCATTTATTGCTCGGCCATAAAAAATGACTCTAAAACAAGTCAGACGGCAACGTTGCTGCACCTCTGATGTGCCAAGAGGGCTCCTCCGGCGAGGAAGAGAACAGAGACAGCCGCCGCTAACCCACTCAGCACCAAAGCCACCCCGCGATACTTCATGGCCCCTGTGGGGAAGAGACCGGAGAGTTAGAATTGGCGCTGAGAGCTTGCGTAGAGTTGATTGGACCACTGGACCATCCCATCTGACTTCCTGGCTAGCACCGAGCGAAAGGCAATGGCTTTTCTCCCCTGTATTGATCCCACTAACTGTGTTGGACTGACGCATCTTCCGGTCTGGATTGGAAGATATTTAATACCTATCTTCGCATTCACTAGTGAGACGTCACCTCCGGTCGCCCGTTCTCCAACGGTCTCAACCATCCATCAACCACTGTCACATGCCCTTCCGTGCTCCCCCCGCTGCCCCCAAAACAACCTCATTCTCTTTCCCCATGCTGCCTTCAAAATTACTACGCTCAAAAGCTGGCGAATTGAGTCCACCGCCCTCCACCCCACATAAGAACGGCCGTACTGGGTCAGACCAATGGTCCATCCAGCCCAGTATCCTGTCTTCTGACAGTGGCCAATGCCAGGTGCCCCAGAGGGAATGAACAGAACAGGGAATCATCAAGTGATCCATCCCCTGTTGCCCATTCCCATCTTCTGGCAAGCAGAGGCTAGGGACACCATCCCTGCCCATCCTGGCTAATAGCCACTGATGGACCTATCTTCCATCTCTAGTTCTTTTTTGAACCCTGTTCTAGTCTTGGCCTTCACAACATCCTCTGGCAAAGAGTTCCACCGGTTGACTGTGCATTGTGTGAAGAAATACTTCCTTTTGTTTGTTTTCAACCTGCTGCCTATTCATTTCATTTGCCAACCCCGAGTTCTTGTGTTATGAGAAGGAGTGAATAATACTTCCTTAGTTACTTTCTCCACACCCGTCATGATTTTATAGACCTCTCTCATATCCCCCCTTCACCATCTCTTTTCCAAGCTGAGAAGTCCCAGTTTTATTAATCTCTCCCCATATGGCAGCTGTTCCAGACCCTTCATCATTTTTATTGCCCTTTTCTGCACCTTTTCCAATTCCAATAGATTTTTTTTGAGATGGGGCAATCACATCCTGCATTGTGCTGTCGTTTCTCACCTTCTCTGGAGATCGCAATCTCTTTGGAATGTAGAGCTGGGAGGTGTCTTGAGAGGACATCTAGTCCATCCCCAGGCACTGAGGCACGGGCAAGTATACCTAGACCATCCCTGAGAGCTGTTTTTAATCGAACGGGGGGCCCGGTCCACCCATGGGCTACCATATTTCCCCGATCGCTGTAAATCACTGGATTTCCCCCCCTACCTTTAGCGGTCATCTTCACCACCTCCACCTGGTCCCTGGACCTCGGAGCTGCCTTACGGCTCGGCGAAGGGCCTACCGTCACATCAGCCTCCGCTTCTACCTCAGAGGAATTGCCTAGAGGGGGGGAAATTTCAAAGGATAAGCCTCGATTGCACAGGAGATATTAGGCTGGAAGGCGGGAACAACTTTGATCGATAGATGCTCGCAGACCTCGTTAAAAGTTGACGCGTTGAGCCACTTTTCCGTCAGGCTGACTAGAAGGAGCAATTAAGCCCCTTTAGGCAGTAGAAGCCACCACCCAAGACACCCAAGCAGGTTAATCCCTGTGTCACAGTTCCCACCACTGATCTGGTCCCATTTTCACCTCAAGCCCCTAGCTGTCTCCTTTGGGCAGGCTCTGCAAGTCACTTCTTCGAGACCGGGGATTTACGCTGAACTTCGCTGCCATTATCCCAGGGACCACAACAGGGTGAACCAGCCACCAGCCAGCTCCAGGAGAGCAAAGTGGATTCAAAATACATGCCCCATCCCCCCCCCCCCCACTATAAACAGTTACGTTTTGCCTGTGCCCACGGCTTCCTGCTGTCAGCCACCGCCTCTCGGGCAGGGACCCACATCCCTCAACCTTCTGATCAGCCCAACGGAAACCCCAAGGACTAGGGAGCTGAAAATAGAGCCATGGGGGGGGGGGGGGGCGGGATTTCTGCCCACAGGAACACACAACTCAACCCCAAGAATGTCCTGGCAACGAACTGACGTCCGTAACAAGTACACGAGCTACCTTCACAGATGAGGAAGATGATGGTTCTACAAGGGATAGTGTGAGTAGATGGATGTGCCGAGGTACATTGTGGAGCATCTTGATCGACCTTACTGAGCTGGGGTGTTTGTGACCGTGCAAATTGTATTCAACAACTATTTTGTTTTCAATAGAGAGGAGTTCCTTTAATCTGAGTGTTGCTTGACCGGGATTCCCAGCTATATAATAATGTGTATAATACGGGGCCTGATCTCGGGACAAGAACCTGCCAACCCTCAAAGGGGTAACTGGGGATTCTTAAGTAATCAATATAATTAATACATCTAAAGATCGGGCCACAAATGAAAGAGGCACTGGGCCTCAAGCGATTAGATGCCGGGGCTCAAGCAAAATTTTTTTTTTTTTTTTTACGTTTGTCACCGCCTGAGGGGCTCGAGGCGGACTTCAAATGGTCCGTTGGCCCGGTGTGCTTAGCACCAATAAAGACACCGAGGGGAGAAAGCAAGCCAAGTTTATTCCAGAGCTCTGAAATGACACTAGGAGACCAGCATGTCTCAAATCCAGTGCAACAAATACAAATAACTTTTACCTTTTTATACTTCAAGCAGTTTCTATGTAAGCCTCTGTCTGTTAACTCCCTAGTATTCCTCCCACCCCTCCCTTCTCTAGCCGTTACAATTAGAAAAGTTCCCATACGCCTGTGAGAAAACTTTCCCAGTCTCTGCGGCCTTGAGTTAGACATTTGCAAAACTAACTATTCCTCTTTCTTATTTCTATTATTTTTGCTAGTGTGAGTAAAACTGAAGCCATTTGCTAAAAACGCTGACCAATGCATTTTGCTGTAGCCTGTAAGCATTACACACAGTAGTAAGTGAGAGTTCACAAGATGGAGTCTGGGGGTTCCGCTAGGCCCAGAGCAAAAGAGCTTCATCGACACTTTGGCCTTCCACTCTCCCGAGTTACCTGGTAGCTATGCCTAGGGGGGGTCCCCAACACGTTCATCACAGCAAGCCCA